GGCAGCCTCATCTTTTTCCCATCCCAGTTGGTGGGTTTGAACGGCCAACCTTTCAGTCAGCAGTCCACTGCTTAGCCGGATGTGCCGCTAGGGCTCCTTAGAGCATTAAGAAGGGAGGGTCAAATGGTGTTCATATAGTTTCCCTATCACTCAGGCATTGTGAATGAGCCCTGGTGGCACAGTGGCTTAAACATTGGGCTGCTAATCTCAAGGTTGTTGGTTCAAACCCACCAACTAGTCCCTGGGAGACAGTTGAGGCTGTGTGCTCCTATAAAGATTTACAGTCTCGGCAACTGTAGGAGACAGTTGTACTCAGTCCTGTTGGGTCTGAGTTTGTGTTTTCAGGTTGTCTGGGTGGAGGGTGGACACCATGTGAAGTTGTCTGTCAGTACTTGGCACACAGTAAGTGCTCAGTCAGTGTGCTGTGATCCAAGGGGGCTTCAAACAGTTCATGGGAGAATAGAACTTTTAGAAGCCCCCCTCATATTGACGACTGAGTATCAGCCTGCCTGCCCTTTCCACCCTCATCCACCGTCTCATCTGCCCAGTCAGTATCAGAAGCCCCATATCCCCCATCCTCCCTGCAAGCTCGGCCCAGCTGGTTTCCCTCCAGAGCAGGTTGTAAGGCTCTGGTTCCGGTAACTCTGCTGGGAGGCCTGGGGTGGACAGGGCAGCCCTACAAGGTGGGTGATAGCCATGGTGATGGAATGTTTGGAACTTGGTATCCCAGGTGAGGGCTTACTGGCTGAGCTGGGGCTGGTGGCCACAGGGTACCCCTTGGGTACCATGTCACTATCAGTGCTGTGGCCCACTTCATGCTAACAGCCCCCTGGCTCCCCCTCCCCCCCAGCCACTCTTTCCCTGGGCACCTCTTGATTTGCTGAGCTTGGAGAAGCCACGCTGACGTGGAAAGTTCAAGTGAGTCTCCGTGTGAAGGTCGCCTCCTTCTTTGGCGCCTAGTTGAACATCTCCCTGCCACCATGGGCATTTTCTTCCAAATGTTTCTTACCTAGTGCTAATCTTCTCACCTGCAGGCTTCCATTAGAATGTCACCACTATGAGGTGTAGCTCTGTTGCCCCAGATGGGGCCCCAACCCTTTTTTTTCCCCTTTGATTTGGAAATATACGTTAATTTTTTTAATGTTTTACTGATTTCTTGGTGAAAGTTTGCACCTCAAATTAGGTTCTCGTTTAACGATGGAGCCCTGGTAGCACTGTAGGTTTAGCATTGTGCTTCTAACCACAAGGTCTATGGTTCAAACCCACTAGCTGCTCTATGGGAGAAAGATGAGGCTGTCTGCTCCTGTAAAGATTGACAGTTTCAGAAACCCTGTGGGCGGGTCTATTCTGTCCTTTGAGCAGGTCTAGTCGCTTTGAGTCGTAATTAACTCAGTGGTCATAGGACCAGACACAAGTGAGGGGCCTTCAAAAACCTCATGGGATGGGAGAACAATTAGACAGGTCTCAATGGGCTAAGTGAGACAGAGGTAAATAATGATATATGCACAACCTGGGAACTACAGGGTTCTGGGATACAGAGATCGAGCCATGGTTGGAATGTGGAAAAGGGGGGAATAATATTAAGATGCTTGGCTGTCTTTTGAATCTTGGTTTTCCTTGCATTATATTATAAAATAGACACTGGAGGGGGAGAGAAAGGAATAGCAAAAAAGCATCACCATAGAAAGCTTGTAAGTCCGTCTTCTGCCTATAACTGATTGGAATACCTAAAATGGGGCTACAACGTGCCCAGTGAAGGAGGCTTCCTGTGGAGCCTCTGCAATACATAAGACTATAGGTGGAAGCCTGAACCACATCCAGATCTCCAGAGATGGGAAATTCCCACTTGAAAGGACAAGCAGACCAACCTGGAGTGGCTAGAAGAACAGAAGATGCTTCTTGAAAGAAAGACCTACAGGAAAAATATAAAACAACATAGGCAGACCGACTGTTACTATAAGAACAAGCAACTTGCTTGCCCAGGAAACATCAAGGCAAGTGGTCGGGTCCCCTCAGTGCAAACCCCCTTCCAAGACTAAGACTCAATGGGATTACACGCTGTGATTGTACACCGATAAGGGGAAGTGAGGGAAAAACAGGAAGGAAGCAGTGAGCTAAGCCCTACAACGTTCAATAGACTTCTGTGAACCTGAGTGAAGACCTGGTTAGCCAGCAGTGTGGCAAGACCTGGGGACTCTTGGGCCCAGAGTCAGTGACATAGCCACAGAGGACTAGAGTGGAGAGTGAAGCGTCCAGCTGATAAGAAGAGAGGGCATATGCATAAGAACACCCACACTTGCAGATAATACCCACTTATCCTGGCTTCAGTGACTGGATGATCAGAGCTCAACCAAAAGTAAAAAGAAGAGGAAAAAAAAAAAAAGTATTCTCATACAATTTGATGAACTTGACCTACACCTATGGAAGCAGTAGCTCAAAAGAGGGAACAAGTCCTAACAGCAAGAATCATTCCCACCCCCTCCATACACAGAGTAGACAGGGATGGGCAACTTGGACATTGGCTACCCAAAATGGGGGGTGGGGGGCTACAAAGGCAAGAAGTGACTGGCTTACAAGCTTTCAAGAGGGAACCTAGATCCAGAGGGCCTGGAGGAAGGTAGAATCTCCAGTGAGTAGCATTCAATCTGACTAGGCGGGGCTGATGCAATGAAATGCAGACGGGTCTCTTGTGATACAATAGTGAATAATTGTTATCAGGACTGTTTGTGAGGTTCTGAAATGTAAAGGTGGATGTTTTATAGCAAGGAGGGGAGTGATTTCAGTCTAGGAGCGGAGGTCCCTAGGACCATCAAGGGAGAAGAGCAGAGAGCGGGACCCTACCCAGAGAAGCAGTGATGCCTTAAATGGAGGCAGAGATGATGACATGGAGCTATGGAGCAGCTGGAGACTTTAGATCCAGAGAGGGAGAGCGACTGTGTGCTGAAGACCTGGGGGGTACAGGGGAAGGATTGCATGGAGGAGATTGTAACCATGGCAATGAGACGATATATGATAGAATGAATGTAAAACTAATGTTCTCCCATGTAAACTATCACATAATTCACAATAAAACATTTAAAAAAAAAAAAAAAAAACTCATGGGAAAACTCCATTATCTTTGTTTTTTTTAAATGTTTTATTGTGAATTATATGATAGTTTACATGAGCCCATTATCTTTTAATTCCATTTTTCTATGAACTTTTTGAAACCCACTCTTATAGTATATGGTCTTTGTTATATATTCTTTTTTGTGACAAAGCCTAAAATGTACATAATCATTCTTGCTTTGAAAGCCATACAAAGCCAGGCCCTGACTCGGTGTTGGCCTGAGGACCAGTTTTCCTGCCCATTCTAGCTCTGCACTGGCCAGTACAGAAGCCATGGGGCCCCTGGGCATGTGAAATGTAACTAGTGGAATTGAGGAATGGGATTTTAGCTTTTATTTCTGTTTAATGTGTAAGGGGTTAGGTGTCACGGAGGGTTAAGTGTTGAGTTGCTAACCAAAAAGTTGGCATTTCAAACGCTCTGAGAGAGAAAGATGAGGCCTTGTGCTTCCATGAAGATTGACCATCTGGGAAACCTCATGGGGCAGTTCTCCTCGACCCTACAGGGTCACAGTGAGCCGCAGTGCACTCAGACACAGTGAGAGTTGGGTTGTATCCACTTGACAGTGTATCTTGGTGATCATTCCATGTCAGCACTTGTCATCTGCCTCATTCCTCTTACCTTTCAACAATGAAATTATATTCTGTACTTATGGTTAGTCTTTGAGGAGCCCTGGTAGTGCAGTGGTTAAGCGCTCAACTGCTAACTAAATGGTCAGTGGTTCAAGCCTTCTAGCCACTCCACAGGAGAAGGATAAGGCTGTGTGCGCCCATAAAGACCAACAGTTTTGCAAACCTTCGGAAACAGTTGTACTCTTTCCCCTAGGGTCAGAGTCAGAATCGACTCGGTACAGTGAGTTTCGGCTTGCTTTATCATTTAAATATAAACTGTGCCCTGTGACTCTTGTATCCATGTTGTACGGGAGGCTGAGAGTTACCCAGGGTCCCGCAGCCCCATGTCGTCACCTTCAAAGGGCATGTGTTTCTTGAAGGAGGAAGGGCCAGGCCCGGGGGTGTGGAAGCTGCCTGGCTGGCAGGCATTTCAAGAGCTGCCTGGGTACAGCTGGGTCCAAGCCATCCCACCTCTAGAAAAGCTTCAAGTGCCCTGTTCCTAATTGGTTTTCTTTGTTCTGCAAGCAGCTCCTGAAACCCAAGAGGACAGCCCCATCGCTGCCCATGCCCCTGTAGCTTGAGAGGGGCGGGGAGTAGGGGGCTGGTTGCTGTGGTTACACCTGGGCACCCTCTCCATCTGGGATTTATTGTACTCACTTCCTTGTATTTGGCAATCCCAGGCGCAACTGGAAGAAATGCTGGCCCACCCTGCACCATCCCACAATGAGTTCTGCATCAGACTTTTGTGATCCATAAGGTTTTCACTGATTGATTTTCAGACATAGATTGCCAGCTCTTTCTTCTTAGTTCCTCTTAGTTTGGAAAACTTAAACCTACTGCTGTCGAGTCAATTCTTACTAGTGACTCCATGAGGCAGAGGAGAACTCTTCCCTACAGTTTCCGAGACTGTCAATCTTTATGGGAGCAGACAGCCTCATCTGTCTCCTGTGGAGCAGCTGGTGGATTTGAACCACTGACCTTGAGGTTAGCAGCCCAATGCCTAGCCTGCTACGCCACTAGGGCTCCTAAGTCCAGAGATTCTGCTGAAATCTAGATTTACCTGTTGCCATCAAGTCCACTCAGATTCATACATGTATCCCTACATGTGTCCGGAGCTGCACTCCATCGGGTTCTCAAGGGCTGATTGTGTGGTGTTGTATCACAAGGCCTGTGCTCTGAGGTGGCTCTGAGTGGTCTTTGTTAGCAACGGTCGCATTAACTGTTGACAGCACCCCAGGGCGATACCCCTCTGCTCCCACTCTAATGTAGCATATCTTTCGCCCCTGCAGGGGTCTGACAGCAGACAGCCTTGGCGAACAGGATCAAGGGCTGGAGTTCAGAGATGAGCATTTCCAGGGGAGGTAAGTGCCCTGCGGAATCCCTGTTCCTCTTGAGACTGCCTGACTCAGACATCTCCATGCCCTGAGTCTTTGTCAGCTGAGCAAAGACCCCAACCAGCTCGCTCCTGTCTGTCTACCCAGCAGGGTGGAAATCCTGTACCAGAAAGAGCTGGGTTCCCACGGTGTGGAGAGGCCAGCTCTCTGCTCCTCCTGATCCCTCAGGAAGTCAGACTTTGTGCGTGATTGGGTAGACAAGGCTGCGGTCTAGAGAGGGCAGGGGATGTGCCTGGATCACAGAATGAATTCAGGTTCTAACCCTTTGGCCTTGCATTCTTACCACTATTCACCTACAAGGTCTTCAAATCCACAGTAGCTTCTTAAGGAAAAGCTCTTAAGCTCATTTTCTAGAGGAGCTAGAAACTCAGAGAGGTGAAACCACTTGTGCAGAACACCAGCAGGTAGAAGCAGAATTTAAACCTGACCAGCTCACTTGGAGCTGTATTCTCCTGTCCTCCCAAGCTGTGTGACCTTGGGCTGGTTGCTGCATCTCTCTGAGCTGCCGGGTGGGTGAGGCTTTCCTACTGCAGAGGGAGTAGTGAGGGCCCCGATCATGCATGGGAACCCTGTAACCCAGTAAGCGCTCAGTAATTGCAAAAACACACAACCCAGGCACTTCATTTGACATCTAGGGACTCTCATCAAATGCATGGCCCACCGTTGGCAAAACTGGTAATTTCAGAACAATTTCCTTGTTCTGTTTAACCTCTCCCAGGAAGTCACACATGTACACATACAGACACGCACACCTCACACACACACCTACAGACATACATTGCCCACCACCTACACACACCTACATACACATGTATGAATGCATACATCACACACATCCACACATGCATGCACACATTTCCCATACGTTTACAGACACATACCTCTCACATGTTACAAACACAGCATGCATACCTCCCCCCGACACACACATACCCCACATGTTACATGCAGAGACACATTACACACTCAAATACACACCTCCCATAAATGCATTTGTGTGCACACACCTCACAGTTACCATCCACATGTACATGGTGGTGGTTATGTGCCATGGAGTCGGTTCCGACTCATAGCGACCCTGTATAGAGTTTCCGAGGCTGTTAATCTTTTTGAAAGCAGAAAGCCTCATCTTTCTCTGGTGGAACAGCTGGTAGTTTCAAACTGCTGACCCTAGCGGTTTGCAGCCCGATTCGTCACCACTGTGCTACCAGAGCCCTTTCCACATGTATATGTTGTTATTGTTAAGTGCCATAGAGTCGGTTCCGACCCATAGCGGCCCTGTATAGGGTTTCTGAGGGGCAGCTGGTGAGCTTGAACCACCAACCTTGCAGTTCAAACGGCTTTGCAGTCTGACTCATTAACCCACAGCACCACACCAGGACTCCTCCACATGTATATTTGTTGTTGTTGTTAAGTGCTGCTGAGTCAATTCCAACCCATAGCAACCCTGTATAGGGTTTCCAAGCAGCAGCTGGTGAGCTTGAACCACAGACCTTGCAGTTCAAACGACTTTGCAGTCTGACGCATTAGCCCACAGCACCACACCAGGACTCCAAAACATGTACAGAATCCCACATGTGTATACACATGTGCGTTCATGCAAACAGAAACACAGACATGTACTATCCCCCCACAGACATATATGCATGTAGACACATGCATCCCATTCATGCATATGCACATATATGCACACACACAGGAACACCGACATATCCCCCACACACAGACATTTCTTAAGAGCAGAATTAAATCTCTGATTTCAGGCTGACTGGAACCTCTGAAAGCGGGAGTCCACAAACCATAATCCTGTGCTCTGCCTTAACCTTAGGCCTCAACACCACAGTCATTTCACAGAACCTTGTCAGATGGTAGGTGATTAAACTATTTCATGTAGAAGAAGTAGTTCTTTCCCCCAAAGATAATCATTTAAAGATGTAAAAGGGTTGCCTTGATCAAACATGAATCTCTCTCATGAGAGCGGTATAACGTTTTGTTCTATACCTAGTTCACTTGATCAAACATGAATCTGCTCCCAAAGCAATCCCCTAACTTCTTGTTCTGAGCCTGGTTATTTATAACCTGCTTCCGCACTGACTTGGCTTATGAAAGTCTACGCAAAACCCTCTTTCTTCTGGGGCAGTCTCAGCTTTGGGTGGACACTGCTTCCCTAGTTTGCAAATCATGGTAAGAATAACCTTCTGTCATTTTGTTAAAATTTAATTCAGTCCTCTATTAACAATACACACACATCCACATCCATACAGACTCACACCCACAAATCTCCCACATATGTATGGACACACATACTTCAACACACACATACACACACATAGAAGCGGTCTTCACAAAGTTCATGGGAAAATGGAATTCAAAGGTTTTGGAATTTTTCCATGAATTCTGTGAAGCCCCTTCATCTGTCCTCACACATACCCCAACGCACATACACACACATATCCACACAGACACAGTCTTGTCCATACCCTCAGATCCATCCCCTCTCTGCACAGCCCTTCTACACACCTACACACACATGCACACGTGCTCATAGACCCCTCCCACAGAGCCACACACATATGTCCACACTCACATGTCCTATGCACCCTTTCCTGGAAGCAGTTTCCTTCAACCCACTCACCTCCATTCCCCAAAAGCTCCATTCCCCAACTCACTCCTGCATGCCAGGCAGGCGGACCGAATGCACTAATTTTATTTAAAGTGTGATTGATCATCAATGCTGAGCTGATAACCAATAGAATTCTAGGATCCCTGGTGGTGCTGTGGGTTAAACATTGGGCTGCTAACCAAAGAGTCAGTGACTCAAACCCATCTCCTCAGGAGAAAGATGAGACTTTATCTGCTCTGATAAAACTTGACAGTATTGGAAACCCTCTGGGGCAGTTCTGCTCTCTCCTGTAGGGTTGCTGTGAGTTGGAATTGGGTTTGGTTTTGGTGTGATGTTTTTCTGTCCTAAGGAAGAATTCCAGGGAGTGCTTGAAGGATCCGTGGGTTTCTGGGTGGCTTTGTGTACTGTCCGGCCCCCCACCCCCAACCCACCAGAGTCATCCTGGAATGATATTTTCCAAACTCAGGTTCTTAATTAAACAATTAAGCACTAGACCACTAACCAAAAGGTTAGTGGTTTGGATCCACTCAGAGGCACCTCAGAAGAAAGCCTTGGCTATCTGCTTTCAAAAGGTTCAAACATTGAAATCCTCTAGAGCACATGTTTACACATGAGGTCACCACAATTGACACCTCGACATGTTTCCATGCGGAGCATCCTTGGCAGCTAACTGATACTCAGAGCGACCTCGGCCAGTGACCCCAGCTAGTATCCCTGTCTGCCTTATCTTTGCTTCTCAGAGCCCTCACTGCCGCCTTGTGAGGCTAGTGGCCCCACCCCATTTTTTCTGCTGAGGAAACTGTGGCAAAGAGGGGGAAGTGAAGCTCGAAGAGCCAGGTCAGGAAGTGCTAGGGCCGCCACAGTTCCCGCCCCACCTCCTGGCCTGACTTGGCTGTTTATTTCCTACAAGGGCCCCCCCACCCCCGAGAGCCCTAGCGCTTGGGTGAATCAGGCTAGCTCTGAACTAGAGTCTTGTTGGCCTTGCTGGGAACATCCTTCTCTCCCATCTTCATCTGACTATTTCCCATCCACTGTTCAAAATGGAAGGAGCCCTGGGGGTGCTGAGGGTTAAGCATTGGACTACTAACCTCAAGACTGATGGTTCGAACCCACCAGCCGCTCCATAGGAGAGAGATGAGGCTGTCCTCTCCCGTGAAGACTGGCAGCTTCGGAAATTCTAAGGAGTGGTTCTAGGCTGTCTTGCAGGGCCACTGTGAATCTGAATCGACTTGATGGCTGTGGGGTGTGGTTTGTTTTCACGCTCTTAAGGACAAGGTGCTGGTGACACAAGGGTTAGACACTCACCTGTAATCGGAAGCTTGGTGGTTCAAACCCACCAGCAGCTCCACAGGAGGAAGAAGAGGCAGTCTGCGCTCTAAAGATTATAGTCTCAAAAACCCTGGAAGGCTGCTGGTAGGGGCTGCAGTGAATCACAGCCTGGGAGCTCTAGGGAGCCGGTCTCTGATGCACACACAGGGTCGTTGAGTTGGAACCGACTTGGTGGCAAGGAAGCTGGGGGGCACCAGCCAGGGCCTCCCAGTGGGCAGTGGCAAGATGGGATCTGAACCCCAGCCCTCCCAGCCTCAGAGCTCTCTGGTTCAGAGACCCTGCTGCTACCGTCCACGCTGTACTCGCCCACAGGCCTGCTTGACCTTGTGTGTCTCTCTCTCCCCAGATGTGAGCCCAGCCGGCCACCCACTGAGCAGTTGCTGAAACAGGCCCCCAAGCTGGGCCTGCCTCACCCCCGGCCTAGCATGCGCCTGTCGGTGCGGAGGCTGCTGCTGGCAGCTGGCTGCGCCCTGGCCCTGGTGTTGGCGGTCCAGCTGGGCCAGCAGGTGCTGGAGTGCCGGGAGGTGCTGGCGGGCCCGCGGGGCCCCCGGCGGACCATGAGGCCAGAGCAGGAGGAGCTGATGATGGTGGGCACGAACCATGTGGAGTACCGCTACGGCAAGGCCATGCCGCTCATCTTCGTGGGCGGCGTGCCCCGCAGCGGCACCACGCTAATGCGTGCCATGCTGGATGCTCACCCCGAGGTGCGCTGCGGCGAGGAGACCCGCATTATCCCCCGCGTGCTGGCCATGCGCCAGGCCTGGTCCAAGTCAGGCCGAGAGAAACTGCGTCTGGACGAGGCGGGCGTGACGGACGAGGTGCTAGATGCCGCCATGCAGGCCTTCATCCTGGAGGTGATCGCCAAGCACGGTGAGCCGGCCCGCGTGCTATGCAACAAGGACCCCTTCACGCTCAAGTCCTCCGTCTACCTGTCCCGCCTCTTCCCCAACTCCAAGTTCCTGCTGATGGTGCGGGACGGCCGGGCTTCCGTCCACTCCATGATCACCCGCAAGGTCACCATCGCCGGCTTCGACCTCAGCAGCTACCGCGACTGCCTCACCAAGTGGAACAAGGCCATCGAGGTGATGTATGCCCAGTGCCTGGAAGTGGGCAGGAGCAAGTGCCTGCCCGTATACTATGAGCAGCTGGTGCTGCACCCCCGGCGTTCCCTTAAGCTCATCCTCAACTTCCTGGGCATCGCCTGGAGCGACGCTGTGCTGCACCATGAAGATCTCATCGGCAAGCCGGGTGGTGTCTCCCTGTCCAAGTGAGTGGTGCCCCCAGTGCTGCTGCCTGGCGCCTGCCCGGGCTGTGTGGCCAGGGGCAAGCTACTGTACCTCTCTGAGCCTCCGTCTCCTCAGTAACAATGCAGATCTGTGTGGGGTCTGGTTAAGAGTTCAATCTCCAACTTGATCACCCAGCTCTTATCTCTATGGGATTGAACCAGTGGCTGTTGTTCTCTGAGCTTCAGGGTCAGTATCTGAAAAATGGGAACACCTGTCTTTTCTGGGAGAATCAGCAAACAGTGCTCTGGGCTGCTCCCTTCAAGGTGGCGGTTCAAACCCACCAGCTGCACCACAGGAGAAAGATGATGCAGTCTGCTTCCCTACAGATTGAGAGCCTCGAAAATGCAGTGGAGCTACTCTGCCCTTTTGGGTCACTGTGAGTCAGAATCAACTCAAGGGCAGTGGGTTTGGTTCTGGCTTAGGAGTGGTACCAGGAGCCCTGCTGAAACATTGGGTAAGCACTTGGCTGCTAACTGAAAGACTGGTGGTTTGAACCTAGTAGCCATATCACAGGAGGAACATGAGGCAGTCTGCTCCCGTAAAGATGGACAGAAACCCCTCCTCAGTGGCAATGCGTTTGGCTTTTGGATTTTATTACTTTTGTAGGCAGGTGGTGGTAAGAACAGTTTCATAGCATAGGCTGGCTGGCTTTGAATCCCAGCAACACCACTTCCGTATGCCCTGGGGCAAGCGACTTCCTTTTCTTTGCCTTTGTCTGTCTTCTCATCAGTAACTCAGAGGTGTAACCAACCTACCTCCTAGGTAATTGTAGCATCAAACACAAGTTGACCAGTTGCTGTTGAATCCACACCCACTCATGACGACCTCACGTGTGTCAGAGTGAAACTGTGTCCCACACGGTTCTCAACGGCTGATTTTTTGGAAGGCGATTTCTAGGCACCCCTGGTTGGACTTGAACCTGCAAACATTTTGGTGGGCAACCAACCTTTTGCACCACCGAATACATTGTAGGTGCTGCTGTTTTGACTACTGCTATTCCTCTTGTTGCTATTATCTCAGGGTTGATATTGCTGTTACTGGAATAATTCACCACCCTAATTCTCTGGTAGCGTAGTGGTTACGACTCGGGCTGTGAACTGCAAGGTCAGCGGTTCGAAACTACCAGCTGCTCCGCGGGAGAAAGATGAGGCTTTCTACTCCCGTAAAGATTTACACCCTCGGAAACCCTGTACAGGGTCGCTATGGGTCGGAACTGACTCGATGGCACTCAACAACAACAATTCCTCTTGTTACTATTATCTCAGGGTTGATATTGCTGTTACTGGAATAATTCACCACCCTAATTCTCTGGTAGCGTAGTGGTTACGACTCGGGCTGTGAACTGCAAGGTCAGCGGTTCGAAACTACCAGCTGCTCCGCGGGAGAAAGATGAGGCTTTCTACTCCCGTAAAGATTTACACCCTTGGAAACCCTGTACAGGGTCGCTATGGGTCGGAACCGACTCGACGGCACTTAACAACAACAATTACCATTACCATTGTCTGCTATGTGACTACCGGCAAACACTATGTCCTCTATTCCTCACAGCAATCGTTTCTTGTCCCCGTTTTGCAAATGAGAAATCTGGATCTCAGAGAGAAGCCCCTGACCTAAGTCCACCCAGCTAGCCAAGGTGTGCTGCTGGGATTTGAACCCCGATCTCTCAAATTCCAAAGTAGGTGCTCTGTGCCTGTAAGCTCTCCAGGTTCTGGACACTACCTTCTTCCGTCTCTCCCTCCCTCTGTCCCTTGCCCTCAGCCTCCATCCTGTGGGGACCCATTCCTCGCCCGAGACCCAGAGCATATGTAGGGTGTAATAGCTAAGTACTGTGTCCCCGCAAGTATCCACCCTGATCAGTCCAGGGTGTCCTTGAAAGCCCAGCACAAGGGTGGCCCTCCCACTTGGACTCAATTCCTTCATGCGGCCAGCACAAGTGGATGATATTTAAAAATAGACATTTCTTTCCTCACAGTTACCAAGGTGAAATGTCCAAACCAGGGTGTTGGCTTCAAATCCTTCTTTGTTAATAGTCTTAGGCATTCCTGGGTCCATTGACTTGTAGATGGTCCTCACGTGACATCTGTCTTCCTCTGTGTGTGTGTGCACGTGTGTGCACGTGTGTGCATGACCCTGTGTCAGTTCTGTTCTTTACATAAAGCAGAAGTAATTGGGCTTCAGATCCACGCTACACTGGATGGATTACGTTCCACTAGATTATACTGCATTCGATATAAGATAATTACATTTGTAGGTATGGTGGTTAAGAAGGAGTGTGGATGGTACGAGTAGTTTGTGATTGGTTGCTAATCTAAATGTTGGCAATTTGAACCCACCCAGAAGTTCTGTGGAAGAAAGTCCTTGGTGATCTCCTTCTGTAAAGATGACAGCCAAGAAAACCCTAGGGTGCTCAGTTCTTTCACACACAGGGTAGCCGTGAGTCAGAATCCACCTGATCATAACAGAGTTGTTGTTGTTGTTAATATAGGGGCTATAGGATCCCAACATCTATTCTTTTGGGTGGGTGGGGCACAATTTGCTCCATAATACCCTTTCTCCCAGGGCTGGAGCAGCCAGCCTCCATCTCCAAGTTCTCTGGGCCCTGAGCAGAGTGTGTGTGTGTGTGGGGCGGGGGGGGGGGGGGGGCTCAGAGCACCTCTGCCCTGGCAGTATGATTCGTGGCAGGAATGTCAAAGTAAGCTGTCAAACTGTCAAACTGTCAGATGGCATCAGAACTTGGCGAACTTCAGGGGGGATAATGACCAAGATGGGCTCAGAGCTGAGTCCCAGGAGGGGAAGGTCAGACATGCCTTGACTCCCCAACTCTTTCACCTGACACTGTCCCGTCCAAGTCACTCCCCACTTCTCTTCTGGATTCTGTAATCCACTAGAGTGACCACAGGGAACTCAGACCATACATAGAGTTCAGTGGTCTATTAAGCAACAGGGTACAGCATGGCATCAGGATCGGTGCAGACCAGCTCTGCACTCTTCTCAGTGGAGTATGGCTCCCCTCGGCCCCTCAGGATAGATCTCCCCTCAGCCACCTCAGGACAGGCTCCTATTGCCATTGACACCTGTCACCACAGCTTCTTCCACTAGGCCCCTTCAGACCTGTAGATGCCTTCAGTGTTAAGAGCCCTTGAACTCTTAAGAGGTAGGCGGGTTCTTGCCTCGCCTCTCTGCTTTTCCCTCTTTCTGCTGCCTTTCTGCTTACTGTCTTCCCGTTCCTTTCTGTCTGACCCTCCATGGATGGGGCTGACTGCATATACCAGAGGGCTTCCAAAAGTTCGTGGAAAAATGAAATTGAAATCTTTAGAATTTTTCCACAGACTTCTGGTGTGGCGCTGTGGGCTAATGCGTCAGACTCCAAAGTCGGTTGAACTGCAAGGTTGGCGATTCAAGCTCACCAGCAGCTCTTTGGAAACCCTATACAGGGTTGCTATCGACTCAACAGCACTTAACAACAACAACAATGTATGCAATACGTGGTCAGTTTCTTAAACTGACGAGTTGCCTCTACTGAGGCCGCAGACACTTCATTTACTTGTTGTTAAATGCCGTCAAGTCGGTTATGACCCATAGCCATCTTGTATAGGGTTTCCGAGGAGCGACTGGTGCGCTTAAACCAGCAACCTTGCTGTTCAAACTGACTTTGCAGTCTGACGCATTAGTCCACAGCGCCACACCAGAACTCCACCAGGCTCCTTAGGGACCCTATAACTTGACAGAAAGTCAAGCGGCTCACAGTTTGCTTAGGAAACATCAGTCAACCTGGACAAAAGTAACAAACCCTCTAAGCTAGAAAACTAGGGCAGAGGGAACTCCTCTGGGCTAAAGACGAAAATCTCTCAGTCTGTTTTTCCAAAGAACCAAGACTAAAAGACATAAGGAACTCTTGTCATCACATTATATCTATACTAAGGAGCCTGGTGGTACATTGGTTAAACAGTGAGCAGCTAACCAAAAGGTCCACTCAAAGGCAGTTGGAATGCTATATAGTTGGATTAAGTGAATGAGATATTGTTGATCCTAGAGCAGGGATTTTGTATATTGTCATGTCAAAAAATAGATTACCAACAGGATATATCTTTGTCACAGAATATTGGAGAATAGACTAAAGGAGATACAACTGATAATCCCACCATCTGTATTTTGATAGAGCGTAGTGGTTACGAATCAGGCTGCGAACCGGTCAGCAGTTCGAAACTACCAGCTGTTCCGCAGGAGAAAGATGAGGCTTTCTGCTCCCATAAGATTTACAGCCTCAGAAACCCTGTATAGGGTTGCTATGAGTCAGAACCCACTCCACAGCACACAACAAGTCCTTTATCATAGCATAGTGGATTATGAGCTGGGCTGTTAACCACAAGGTCAGTAGTGCAAAATCTACCAGTCACTCTGCTGGACGAAGATGAGGCTTTCTGCTCCCGGAAAGATTTACAGCCTCGAAAACTCTGTACAGCGTGGTCTGTATGAGTCAGAACAAGCACACCACCACTAGTCCTTTGTCAGGGCATATTGATAAAAATGGAGTCCTATTGGACATAGCATGTATGTCCCTAATTCACTTTATCTATGGCATTCAGCACACCTCTGTGACAGCATATTGAATGGCTATATGTGGCACTGTCGGTTAATGCGCTGGACTGAAAGGTTGGCATTTCAAACTTACCAGCCACTCCTCGGAAATCTATACAGGGGCACTATGAGTTGGAACCAACTCTCCAGCACTTCACAACAACATACTATTCCAGTATGTTATCACCTTGTTTATTTAGCTTACTATTTCAGAGTCCTGGTGTGGCACTGTAGGATAAGTACTGGACTGCCAAGCTGCAAGGTTGATGGTTCAAACCCACCCACTGCTCCTTGGAAACCCTGACAGGGTCACTGTGAGTGAGAACTGACTCAGTGGCACTTAACAACAACATTGTTGGGCACTTATTTTACTTAGAGCCACAATCAGTGCTCATGGAAGCAGCAGTCTAGAAATCAAACTATGTATTGCATTGGGCAAATCTGCTGCACACGCCCTCTTTAAAGTGTTGAAAAGCAAAGATGTCAGTGTAAGGACTAAGGTGCGCCTGACCCAAATCATGGTATTTTCAATAACCTCCTATGCATATGAGAGCTGGACAATGAATACGGAAGAATAGAAGAACTCATCCACTTGAATTATGGTGTTGGTGAAGAATGTTGCATGTACCACCAATTGCCAAAAGAACAAGCAAGTCTGTGTTGGAAGAAGTACAGCCAGAATGCCTTTTAGAAGCAAGGATGGCAAGACTTCATCTTTACACGCATTGGACATGTTATCAGAAAGCCCTAATCCCTGGAGAAGGACATCATGCTTGGAAAAACGGAAGGTCAGCGAAAAGGCGGAAGACCCCTAAGGAAATGGATTGACGCAGTGACTGCAAAAGTGGGCTCAAACATAACAGTTGGTGAGGATGGCCCAGGACCAGGCAGTGTTTTGTTCTGTTGTGCATCGTGTTGCTATGAGTCAGAAATGACTCGACAGCACCTAAAAACAACATTGTTGGGCACTTAGGTTATTTCTGGTTTTATTGACTTTTATCAGGCATTGCTGCTAGGAATGTTCTGTTGTTATGGCCACATTATTCTGTACTTAAAGTCATAGAGATACAAGTATTGTGCCAAAGGCCATGCTCATACTTGAGACTTTGGATACACATTGGGTTGGCCTGAAATTTACATCCAGGGCTCCGAACTCCAAGCCTGTACTTCTCCCACCACTCTGAGGGCTTCTCATTGCCAAGCCTGTCTTCCTTCTGCTACATCTTTCTGTCATGTGATAGTTAGAATGGTGGCATCTGGAAATGTGCCCTCCACCCCACCCTCAATTCTACAAGGTGTTTGAACTATCATTGGTAAGCTCTTCAGAATCTGGGTGACTTGGGAAGCCTGGTCCAGGAGAACGCACAGAGGTATCTATGAGTTGCTGGTTATTACTTTGGCATGGAAACAAACTAAATATCCATATCTAGAAGAATATGGGAAGGGAGCTTTTATATATTCA